GACATCTGATAGCCCGTCAGTTCCACAGCTACAGACTTGAAACGAACAAACTTCTCCCTTCATATCACCCTGATAATTCTGGCAATGTTATTGTTCAACCAACTCTTCCAACATTTCCGCCATCTTGCCACCTTCTTGACACAAACTTGCGATCCCCTTTGCTTCTGAGTTGTTTCATCACTTGTAAAGCATCGTGTAATTGTAATTACTGACACGTGCCTGAACTCACTTCATTCGCGGCGAATTAATGAGGTGGAAATATTACAACATTAACCAGAAGTGGTTTAGGTTCTCAATTAATGAACTTAGTTACCTGCACAACGGAACTGACTCCCACTGCTTTAAAGATACATGATATATAAATTACATGTTTTGTCTGGTATCAGTTGCATACAGATGTGCTTCTTCTGCTTAATTCCTCGCTTCAGGTTACAAGTAATGAGGCCTCTAAGATTTTACGCACTTGCGCCATCTTTATTCTCAACGCTTCTGACTAGAGAATACGACAATTGGATTTACTGGATTTTGAACTTTGTCCATTGGTAGGATTACAAAACTATAATTTTGCCTGTGGTTCTGTATGGGTGTGAAACTTGGTCTCTGACATTAAGGGAGGAACATAGACTGAGGGTGTTTGAGAACAGGGTGTTGAGGAGAATATTTGGACCGAAGAGAGATGAAGTGACAGTAGGTTAGAGAAAACTGCATAATGAGGAGCTTCATAACTTGTACTCTTCTCCAAGTATAATTAGAATGATCAAGTCAAGGAGGATGAGGTGGGCAGAGCATGTAACACGAATGGGGGTAAAGAGGAATGCTTATAGGATATTGGTGGGAAAGCCAGAAGGAAAGAGACCACTGAGAAAACCAAGGCGTAAGTGGGGGGACAATATTAAAATGAATCTTAGAGAGGTAGAATTGGATGGTATGGATTAGATTGATCTGGCTCAGGATAGGGACCAGTGGAGGGCTCTTGTGAACAGGGTAATGAACCTTCGGGTTCCATAAAATGCTGGGAAATTCTTGAGTAGCTGCAGACTTGGCTTCTCAAGAAGGGCTCAGCTCCATAAGTAAGTAAGTAAGTAAGTCCATTGGTAGGAGCCGGAGTAGTGCAGTAGGGCAGAGATCTGTCTTTCTCTAGACATTTCCGGCCAGTTCTGAGACTTATTCAACTTTCTATTCAGTGGGTATCGGGGTTACTTCACCGATTCATCAGGGACAAATCGACCGGTGTGAAACTCTTGCCATTCATATTCTAGGGCCGAAAACTTCCCCAATATGCCTTCATGGCCTGGCGCTTAATTAATTACAAGAATAGCTTTACCTTTGCCCGTACTACAACCACTTCCTGTTCTTCATTCGGTTGTTACTAGAAAGCCGGTCAGAGTGACCGCGCAGACATAGGCATGAACCGTTTTAGTCACCTCGAACATTCCGAACGTGTGTTCGAATCCCACTCAAGACATGGATGTCTGTGTATGCGTTTATTCTGAGTTTGTGTTGTTCTGTGTGTAGGTAGCGGCCTTGCGACAGGCTGATCCTCAGTCCAAGGAGTACTACAGACTTTGTATAGATTAAGAAGCTAAGAAAGCGGCCAAGGTCCACAAGGGCTGCACAGCCATTGATAGATATGAGAAAACTTTCCGTAACGGTTCATAATGATAGAAGCGGGATCAATAGAGACAGACCAGAGAAACGCTTCAGCAGTAAATTAACAAAACCAGGAAGTGGGCGTAGCCAGATCTGATGTAGGCTAATTTCTGTTTATAAAACCTAACCTCGGAAAGTCCGTACCGACTTAACGACAGAAATTTTTCGAAATACACATACGTAGAAGTAACACAAATTCTGTAAAAATGTTTGTACTTTTCCTTCACTCCCAATTATTCAAGCAACGCTAAGAGGGTTCAGAAACTGCTGAGAACATACTTCAGCCCTCCCCACTACGCCGATTTTCCAGTCAGTCACTCACTCACTCATAGAAGTGAGTCCTTCTTGAGAAGCTGCCAATTGTGCAGCTACTCAAGTACTTAAAAGCATTTTATGGAACCTAAAGGTTCATTGCCGTGTTCACAAAAGCCCTCCACTGGTCCCTATCCTGATCCAAATCAATCCAATCCATACTATTCCATTCTATCTCTCTAAGATCCATTTTAATATTGTCCACCCACCTACGTCTTGGTCTTCCCAGTGGTCTCTTTCTTTGTGTATTTCCCACAAATAACCTATATGCATTCCTCTTCGTTCTACACGTCCTGCTCATTTCAGTAGAAATATACAAGTGACATAAATGGAATATGAATGTTATGACATTCATGTGATGATTAATGACATCATGTTCCACAACAATTACTGCAGCACATCCTAATACGGTATAATAAAAACATTCTGAAGTTTCCTGGTTCACACCTCGGCTCAGAGTCCATCTATCATAACTCGATTTCTTGTAGTTCTACTCAGTCTCTAAGGACAAATGACAATATAGTACCTGTAATTAAGCGTGGCTAAGTAATGACACTGTAAACAACGCCCGTTGCTAGGCAACAGGTTCCTAACAATCACCAACTGACTAGCTAGGAGGTGGTTTTCTCCACGCGGTCCGTGCGACAGCTGCGTAGTGCAACAATAGAAGAGATGTTGAGGGACGTGTTTCTATGCGGATCGTAGAGACAATCGCCGGTCACTAAGGACGTGAACACGAAGCTGAGGAAGGTCCTACGTTGATAAACCGTCACCAGGCAACGACTCATGAAGACACAGCAGACTGAGAAGACTTAGACTTGCTGCAGAACTAGCGATAGCGCTATAGTTACCTGTAGTCAGGATCATAAATCCAGTTACCAATCCAAACCCCATCTATAGTCACATTCATACACCTGACAATATAGTAATCGTAGCTACGTGACTGAGTCGTTGGGTAATAGACAATTAAATGAAATAAAATAGGACGCGAACCGTCGACACTGAAATAATTCGCCTCTGTAACTCAGGCTATTACAATCCTGTATGCGCCTTTAGGATATAAAACGGTACATCATGGCGTCATCCAATTCCTTTCGAAGTACTTCCCAAAATATATCCTGTCTCATTATTAATAGATCAGGGAGGCAGTACATGTGCACAGGCAGTTTCACAAGAAGATCTCGTGAACTCAAGGCGTCGAGTCAGGAGATCAAGCGGGACCCTAGTCCAGCCAATATCCTGATCGGTTTCCATACAAACTCAAGCTAGTTCAATATTCAGCAGATTTCAGTATTTTACAAGGAGTTCGAACGTTATTTCATTTCGTATCGGAAATAATAATGTTTTGTGAGCTGTATAGAAGAAATAATCGAAAGGACAGCTAAGCTATGTAATTATAATGCAAGTACAACATTTAATTGAAATTCGTCCCATTTCAGAATTGCTTGGATTTCCGATCGTTTGATATTCTAAAAACCAGAAAACACAACGTTCCGGAAAATAGCGGGGTTAACTTTTTGTAAGGGACACAACTGAGTAGGTGTCGGCCCCCACCACCTGAAGACGGAAAAAGATCCAGTTTCCGAAACGTTGTGTTTTCTAGAATGGACAAAGTCCAAATACGCAGTAATTCTGAATGTTATACACCCTCGCAGTACCTTTAGAATCTACCCCATTTGTTACATAATTTCTTGTGGCGTTATCTCCTTTCCTCTTTTCCCCCATATTCCTTTAACTTTCCCTTTAGTTCACAGAATTATCCGAATTATTTTCCCTTCTTTTCTTCCCTCTCCTCTGCTTCACATTACAGAATCTGAAGATGATATCATTTAAAACGAGCTGCGACGGGGGAACAAGTGGCAAGTATCGGCTGTGTCACATACTGCATTATTTTTTATTTTTTATTATTCTTAGTGGGGGTGAGACTGAGTCCACTTGGTACTGCGGCCACGTCTGGCCTATTGCTTTCATTTTTTGTTATGATTTTGTAGACCCGTGCCATAACGTGAATACTGTGAAATACAGGGAGAGAGAAATGCAAACGTTGTACAAATTGTTTCTAAATTATTTTAAAGTATCTTATATTATAAGTTCACTTAATATCATTACAGAAAATTTATCCACATAATATATAGTAAATCCCACATGTTTCGTTCACATGACCTTGAGCAGCCGCTTAAAACTTACACTAACTAATGACTCTTGCTAAATCATAGATTAGAACTTTCGGTATTATTGCAGAATTTTAAGTGAAATTCCTATCTGATGATGATCATGTGATGGAAACATTTTGTGGAACTGTCAGTTTATCAGAGAAGTTTTGTGTCAGTACAGAGCAATCATGTTCGGCCTAATTTCCTTATTTCGAAACAAGAAGTTCTGGGAAGAATTAATCGTCTAGTTTCCTTTCATATGACACGGACCGCGTAGAAAAAGAAAAAATTGGAGGGACACATAGACACTCGGAGAACAAGGTGATCTAATAAGTTTAAGAAGCCTAAAAAGTAGGAAAACACACACATTGACAGATACAGATGGATACACAGGCGGACAGAATGGTGATCTCATAAGCCTCCTCCTATCTTTTTAAAATAAGGAAAGTTGGCTAAAAAAATCGAGGCTTTTGAGATCACCTTTCTTTGTGCCTGTGTGTGTTCCCTGCCTGCTCGAAAGAAGCAGTCCTAAGAGGGCACGGTTGGAGAACAGTGTTAGGCCTGTTGGCTACTCGGGACGGGTAGCCTTAAGGCGGGAGCAATGTGACACTATTCCAGAAAGTTGGAATAATGGAACCAGAAGAGGTAGCCGTTGGTATGCAAAGGATCAGTAGGCAGTTTCCAGTGACAAGGAATATACGCGCAACAGTAGAATAATCGTGTTTTCTATGCGGTCAGAGTCATATCAGAGAAAGAAATATAGATCAGTTTTTTCCAGATATTGTTTTATACTTCATACCTTCAGGTACAGAAAATCAGGAAATGTTTGTTAATGAAGGGTCAGAATAAACTAAATAGACCGGAGGTATATCTGTCTGTACTCACCTACTGCCAAGAGATCCGCATTGTGTAGAAGTACAGCAAAAATTGACGTGGAGGGGAAGACGTCACACCGAATTTTGCTATTTCCAGCAAGCAGCACCTAAAATTATATAAAAGATTTATCATGAAAATGCTCCTCATTTTACTCGGGCATTCATGCGTAGACACAGAGTCTACAGAACTACAACACTGTAAAAATATCCTTATTTCTCCAGCGTTGAAGTTTTTTAGTAACGGTCTCGAAGATATCGCAGCACATGCTGGGACATATCTACACTTCTTCATTAGTATGAAGGTTGTGACATCTAAGGTTCCCCTACACAGGCTCAAAAAGTTTCAGCTACGTTGTCAGATGTTTTGAGCACAAAGTTGGAAACAAATAAATAAGCAGTTCTAGCTGCATGGACAGAATCCTTATTGAGAAGCTTCCGCTGCTAGGCTAGCTAAAAAATTCCCCACCTAGTATGGAACCCAAAGGTTCATTACGATGTCCAACGGAGTCCTATCCAAACAAGAAAACTACAGCCGAACAATTGGTGACTTGGGTCCAAAACCCATTCATTTAAGTTACATTTTAATATTATCCCTTAATTTACGCCTATGTGCTCCAAGTTGCCTCCTACCTTCAGGTGTACCAGCTATCAAGTTATATATATGTACTCGTATATTTCACTCGTGTACAAACCTTGCTATGTAACAGGCGAATAAACCGTGTTATGCAACACGTTTCTAGGCAACGCATTAATAAACAAGTTCCAGTGGGAACGAATAAGCACACAACAACACAGTTACTGTTGGAAATTGTGTTCTCTAGTCGGTCCGTGCAAAAGGGTTATAAGAAAGACAAGTGGTGCGAATTTTCAATAATTGCGATACATACATTTGACGAAAGGCCAAGCATGTTCGTAAGAGACAGACCCACCTTCTCGCCAGAGAGGTTGTTACATAAGAACTGTTGCCCCAAGGGATCAGTTGAAAAAAAAAAAAGATCTTTACTCATGAGTCTCAAGGGGTTGGTTCCAAGATGAACTGATTGGCCGTAAACCACCAGTCGTAAAGTAACTTTGAACCAGTTATACCCCTGTGAAGGCGTGGTGCAATACCTCCACCCTAGCCCAATGTAATTGTTTCCTCAACATGTTGTTATTTGAAGAAAGCAGTCTTCTGGAATTTGGCACCGTGTATATGTGGTGTTAACCGACGTTTCGGAGGAACGTATCGCTCCATCTTAAGGGTAGAAAGAAAAATATAAGAAATCAGCAGGCGAAGAGACCGTGAGAACCGGTACAAGGCGATACGTTCCTCCGAAACGTCGGTTAACACCACATATACACGGTGCCAAATCCCAGAAGACTGCTTTCTTCATAGTCACCGCCGTGAAAACCTCAAATCTTACATGTTGTTATTTGCCTTCTGAAGGTGATCATAACTGATCGAAACATGTAAAGATATGTATATATGAGTACCACTGGTCGGTGTTGTCAAATCAGCCTATAACATTTAACTAGTGTGACGGATCAGAATGAATGAAGTTAAACTCTGCATAACATCTTCTTATCAAGAAACATTCCATACATATTTTTAGGTTAAACATTTTAAACACATTTATAAAGGATTAAGTTTTCCGAAATTAAATTACAAAAATCATAACGGGTTATACGTTGTGTGAATCACTAAGTAATCGGAAAATTATAAGATAATGTTTACTATGTATCATTGAAACTTCTGGGAGACCATAGCATGAACTGCGATCAACGTTTCTCAAGACCGAGCTCGGATCATGCGAGTTGTTTAAAAGCGACAGAAGGAAGTAATTAAAATAGGCCTACAAAACACCGGAAGGACAACGTATAATGTTTCATTCTGAACAGGCTGAATGGCCTATTCCGTGCAGTTACTGATGATGATGGTCCTGTAGTCGAGACCCTGCCTGTAGTTTTGGATGATGCGGTGATTACAACCCATTCGCTATTTAATGCTTCTTGATTGGTCAATTTATGACATAACAAGACCCAAATCGGGCGGGAAAAGCCACAATTTTCTCAAGCAAAACAATACAGACGACAACGGGTATGGCCAGTATGTGACTGTCGGCCAATGCTGTTTTTAGGCGGACATGGCTGAGAGCTAATACGATAGTTCACTTCTTATCGTCACTGAACTTAGTGACTAATCAACTGGAAGGGAATTGGAACGAAGTGGTCGTGGCCTGATTAGAGGTAATGAGCCAACATTTGCCTGGAAGGGCTGTAGGAAACTACGAAATATCAGTCAGGATGTATCGTATCCAAGCCGAGTTTTGAAACCGGGATTTCATGAAAACGAAAGCCGTTCTGTGAAGCAGTATCGAAGAAGAACATCTCTGCTACCCTGTCTAGAATCGAACAGGGGCAATGTATTAAGACAGTCACTTTATCGATTGAGCCGTCGCAGTTCATTGCACAATGTCTATGTAGTGTAACATTTGTCGTCACAGGTTCTACCTGTTGTTTAAGATAAATGCCACTGCTACCAACATGCAAACATTTTCCAATTCATCGGCGATCAATATTTAGACAATACGGGGACCCGTGTAAGGGCGCTCTGTTCGCGTCCAGAAGCACGGAGGCGTGTAGTTCCCATTAATTCCGCACGGATCGCCACATTGTAGCCATATCAACAAAGCGTGATATCCTAAGTGTACCCGAGCTTTACTCAAGGTAACAACGAGAGGACGTACTTCTATACTGAACTGTTTAAAGCAGCTGTGTTAGTGAAAACGGCATTCCCATAGAAAATAAATCATATCTGATTCAATGCATTGATTTCTTGGTTAACTATTATGTGGATTTTGATCGCATGTAGTTTCACTAAATAATATTTAAAAGTTCAGTTCCTATCTTAACAGAAAGCATCTCCATTATGAAGGCCGACCAGTTTTTTTTAGTTTTATTTTTTTATTATTATTCTTAGTGGGGTGTCCACTTGGTGCTGCGGCCACTTCTGGCCTACTGTACCAGCCCCGGATGACATGATGCTGATTATGGAGCAACTGGTGGAATGAAGATTGGCAGGGGAAACCTAAGTACTCGGAGAAAACCTGCCACAACGCCACTAGGTCCACCACAAATCTCACATGACCAGAACCGGGCTCGAACCCGGGCCGCCGCGATGGGAATCCAACGACTAATCGCTTGAGCTATGGCGCGCCCCAGCCAACTAGTTAATGTTGTTTAGGGAAACTATTGGTTTTTTATTGTGAAACTCAAAAGACACAAATATACTATGTGGGCGAAGTACAGAGTTATAAGATGGGACGCTGATGCAGTAACTCTGCCGGCTGAAATTGATGTATCACACAAACACAGAATAGACACAGATAGACATCTATTTCACGACTGAGATTCGAACCCACGATCTCAGTGTCCAAGCCGACATTTAATGCATTCGACCGCGCGGCCTCTGTGAACGGCATCCTCACAGTAAAGATAAAAAGCTATAGTTGTCCCTGTGCTCAACTAATTAAGTACTACGCCATGAAGGCGTATGGGGGAGTGGATGTATAGATCCACATTTTCTTTACCTCGACTGTATTTGGAGGTGAGTGGTCAGTTTCACGCCCCGGGGAAAGAACCCTCGGTACCCACTAGATAGGAGGCTGGGTGGGCCCCAGAGCCGGGCTGGGTGACGTGGGAAGAGCAAATTCTTGCCCCACCGTGACTCCGACCCCTAAATCGTCCAGCCTTAGCCAGATGTTATCTCAGATCCTCACAGTAAACATCGATTACATCCCTGAACATCATTCATAGGTTGGTTATTGCGATCGAGCTGCAGTGTGTTTGCTGTGGGGTAAAGACTGATGCTTTAAATATTACTTAAACTCTTTATGTACTACACAGGCCGTCACCAATGCAACAAATTTTTCCTTCTTTCTTACACTTTCACTTCGGACACAACATATTTCGGCCCTAAATGGCCATCTTCAGGTGTCTTGCCATGCTAAAACTGCTACACTGCATTAATATTGTCCATTCGTCGCATATGCAACTTCACGCTTCATGATTTAAAACGTAGCCAGTTGGTATGCGCTAAAATAGCACACCCAGTAGTTCACTTAATTTAAATCATTAAGATCTATTAAAATTTGTATTAAAATTTCCTTTAAATTTTGTAAAATTCTTATAACACATCATTATGGGCGTCGTCCACTTGCTTTGGTCTGTATTTAATAGAAAATTTTGATAAAAAGAATCAATAAATTGTATTTAATATAAATTACGTGAACTACAGCATGTGCTATTTTGGCACATACCAATTGACTACGATTTCAATCATGAAGCGTGCAGTTGCATATGCGACCAATGGACAATATTAGTGCAGTGTAGCTGTTTTAGCATAGCAAGACACCTGAAGACGGCCATTTAGGGCCGAAATATGTTCTGTCGAAAGTGAAAGTGAACGAAAGAAGGAACAGCTTGTTGCATTGTTGATGGACTGTGCAGTACATAAACAGTTTTAGATACAGTAATGCAAAAAACAAAAAAACAAACTCCTTGGTTTTAGTCCGCAAACGAACTATACCGACCGAGCGACCGCCGCTTGTCGACGAAGTTAGTGCCAACTTTTGCGGATAGAGGGTGTCGCGTGGTCAGCGCAACGAATCCTCGCGGCCGTTAATTTCGGTTTTCTAGACCGGATAGTAATGCAACAGGATACTTAAATACAGGAATAATATAATGTAAATGAAATTCGGGTTTCCAAATATTAATGATAAGTCCAATGAGAATTATGGGAGATGAAGCAAGAGTTTATATTACAGGAATTTATTTAGAAAAAGGGACAGGAGATCAATCTTGATATAACCAACCCATGCGTTCCGATTTTGTTTTGACAGAATGAGCATTTGTTTGGACAGTCAGACCAAATGCAATTATATTTAGAGTGATTAACCCGAATTGTATTATGGCTATTTTTCCAAAACTTATATAACAGAACTGCTATTTTAACCCCCAGAAAGATTTCTGGTACTCATTTCTCTCAGATGCCGAGTCGACCCCAGGGCCATAGCGTGACTGCAAGGATTAGGTAAACTGAAAAAAATCCAATTCATCGGGACTCGAA